GCTGGGAGGGAAGGACGCGGGCTGCCCTGCCGGGCTTGCTGCAGGGCGCTCCCGTCCGCCACGCCGCTGCCCCCTACAGGGCGGCCGGAGCGGAACAACGGAAAAAAAAAAAAGCGTCCGTGCCATCCTAGGATTGGGTGGAATGCCGCCTCCTACAAGCTGCCGCCCAAAGCACCAGCTTGCTCTGCTGGTGCCTGGAGCCGGCCCTAGTTCTCGGGTCTGGCTTCCATCCCCTCTCCAACTAGCTGTCTGGAGGTGCTTGCCTTCCACGCCTTGCTCATTCACACCTAATTCATTCAACATGCCAGTTGATTAAGGGAGTGTGGGGAGGGGGAATCTTATTCTACTCCTAGCAAAAAGACATTTTTCTTCTACTTTAACTATCCTTAGGAGCTATAACATTATACCAAGGCTTAACATAAAGTTTTCTATACGTTTTTCTACACAGGGATCTGATACGAAGTTCCTATATCAAAGGACTTGATACAAAGTTGTATGAAAATAGCTTAATACAGGGTTATATGAAGAGGCATAATACAAAGGCATATGAAAGTTATGTGAAGATGCTTAATACAGAGATTTATCTACAGGGTTCATTTGGGTGGGGTTCTAGGTGTTGGTGGTTGGGGCTCAGTAGGGAGGGTGTCTGGGGGGGCTCATCGGGGTGGTACAGATGCACGGGAGGTGGGGCTTGTCAGGGTGAGGGTTTGATGGGCCTGCTTAACAGGGGAGCCCCAGCTGCTGCCAAGGGGATCCGTATGCTGGGCCCCCGTTTCCCCTATCCCAGGGATCGGTAACCTTCGGCACGTGGCCCACCAGGGTAAGCCCCCTGGCGGGCCGGGCCAGTTTGTTTACTTGCCGCGTCCACAGGTTCGGCTGATTGCGGCTCCCACTGACTGTGGTTTGCTGCTCCAGGCCAATGGGGGGCTGCGAGAAGCCGCGGCTAGCACATCCCTTGTCCTGCAGCCCCCCATTTGCCTGGAGCCGCGATCGGCCGAACCTGCAGACGCGGCAGGTAAACAAACTGGCCCAGCCCACCAGGGGGCTTACCATGGTGGGCCGCGGGCTGAAGGTTGCTGATCCCTGCCCTATCCCCTTCTCTTCCCCATCCCATGTCCCTTCTCTACCACTCCATCTCCTCCCCATCCCACCTCCTTCCTTCCCCACTGCCTCTGTCCCCCTGCCCTGCCTGCCCCATCCTGGGCACTCACTGTAGTACAAGATGAAGGATGGCTCCCAGCACAAAGAAGGGAGCTCAGCCAGCACTAGGACCCAGAAGGTGGTGTCCAGCTGCAAAGTCCCAGGAGCTGAGCAGCACCTTCTTTTTTCAGCCTGGCTGTGCAGCTCTGCAGTAGAGTAGGTCTGCTCATTCCACCCCCCTCCCCAAGGCCTCACCCCGCCTCTTCTCTGCCTCCTCTCCCCAGGTGAGCATGCTGTGGCTGTGCTCCTCCCCCACCCTCCTGCCGGCAAACAGCTGATCGGCGGCAGGGAGGGGGAGGGCGGGAAGGGAGCAAGCTGTGAGAGGAGGCAGGAGAGGGGGAGCTTGGCTGCCCTACTGCAGCAGGAGCCTCACTGCCAGGAGCACCAAGCTTCTGCTCCCCGCAGGAGAGAGTGGGGGGCGGAGAAGAGTGGGCATGGTAGGGGCCCTCCCTGGAGTGTGGGCCCGGCTCCATGGTAAATTCGCTACTGCCTGAGGTTAGTGGCCAGATGCTAATACAGCCCTTATCCTTATTTTGGGCAAGTTGGTGATCCAATAGAATTTCTCAACATTTCAATAGATTATTGAGCACTTTGCATACACAATAACAACGGTATTTGGGATTCAATGCGAAACATAAAAATAGTTAAATTCAGTAGTAACAGACAATATATGAAGTCCATGACTATTACCTAGGATTGGCAGAATCTGATTTTTATTTTTTGATAATTTTTATGGATATTGATTATTTTTAAACTTTTTTTTAGACTTTTATCAATTTAAATTTTAAGTTGTGGGTCAGGAAATATTTAAAGAGATGTTAAGATTCAAAAAGTTAAAGCTTTAACTGTTAAAACATATCAACATCACATATAAATCTATACAAAGTAAATATGTTTAAATCACTCCAATAATTTCTCAAGCAGCATTTTTCTTACTTTGCTGATCTGTAAATTTCAGTTCAGGGGGTGGGGGGAATGGATCAGTATTCACCTTGCTCTCCCTGTCAGTACTGGGCCCAAGTCAGGGAAGCTAATGATCCAACCAATGGACC